CGAGCCCGGACCTTGGGCCCAAAGTTGGGCTTTGCGGAAGTCTAAAGAAGATTCTTATCTACTTTAGTCTTAAAAACTATAAGCTAGTTATTATACTTATAGATAAAAAGTAAGCTTTAATCCCTTTTAAAGGTACTATAATAAAGGGATAGATATATAAATATTAGATAAAAATTAATACCCTAATCTAGTTAATAGTTTCTACTAGACTAGATATCTTATTTACTCTTATTAAGATAGCTAAATATACTAAGAATCCTAGTAATATATATTTTTAAGCCTTAAAATATATCTTTTACTACCTTACTAATACTAAATAGCTTATAATCTCTTTCTACCCTAGTATATAAAATATAGCTATATATAGATACTATAATACTAATTAGGCTAGCCTATATAGTAAGAAAGGACTTTCTATATCTAGTTTCTTATTTAAAATAGCTAGTAGAGCTATTTCTTAGATATTAAAAAAGTAACTTTATATTACTCTTTCTATAACAGAGTCAAAGTATATTACTAAGTCTCTTATAGTATAGGAGGTAATCTAGTTAATATAGTTACTTACAGAGCTTAAAATCAAAAGGTTTCTTAAGAAGCTAATCCCTATTTATATAGATAATAATAGAGCTATTACTTTCACTTTTAATCTAGAATTTTATATAATAACGAAACATATCGCTATCCGTTTCTATAGGTTACGTAAAGAGGTTGCCGCCGGTAATATTAAATTTATTAAGATCCTAACTACTAATATAGCAGCGGATAGACTAATAAAACCCCTTAGCAAAACGCTATTTAAGCGCTAGATTATTTAAATAGGCCTTATAGTCTATAAATTCGCGCTAAATGGATAATTTACGGTTTATATACTATAAATAGGGGGTTATTAAAGGTTAAAGACTGGTTTTTATATAGAGAATTAGGGTTATTTAAACTATGCTGCCGACTGATAGTGCTAGTCGTAGGGGGTATTAAAAGGTCACGTGACCGTCACTGTTTGCTCCTAGTACTTTAGTCTTAGCATGTAGATAGTTTCTCTCTCTCTCCACGCATTAAGAGATTTCCAGTTACATCTACATCTTTATCGTAGATCTCTAGTATCTCTAACACTTTCCTTCAATTCTCTCGAGTAAAGAAGGACGCAAGATGTATTTGCTTTGCCACACACATCGCGACTACATTCGCGTTTAACCGGAGAAATTTCATTCGGCGAGATAAGAAGAAAACGGCGACTGCTGATTTCCTTATGCGTTATTACAGTCGTGCGCTAAGCTTGTCAACTTCCTCCGTCGCTTCTAGTATATCACTCATTTTTTTCTAAAGGCTAGCATGAGTAGTGCCATATTTCATAGTCTCTCTGTGGCTTAGTTTCCATAACTCTCTACTCAATCAATTTCACATCCACTATGTTATGCACTTCGACGTAGTCCTCTCTTGACAAGTAGCTTCAACGATTTTTGGGATCCCAGACACATCAAACAGTATCCCCTCCAAGACCATAGCTACAACCCCCAATTCTGTTGACACAGATTTAGACGACACATAGTCGTCAAGTTGGTGCAGTTGGGTCTTCCAGCAGCATGACAAGGTATGCTGAGCTGGCACGGCGTCCATTTCTGTGCATAGTTTATAGAAATTGTAATAGGATCGAAGAGTGAGAGGGCTACTACAGTAGTAAAGTTAATTCAGATGCCTTTTTCCCTTCTCTCAGACAGACATATATATAGTTGGGTTAGGTGGAGATCATGGCTTCCCCTTCCGTTTTAGTGCTCACCCGTTGCCGCTTTTTAATCACTAAGTAAAACTGAGCACAACCTCAAAAACGAAATCTATAATGTGCCCTCTAGTGTACCTGAGATTTTTAATGATGCTCTCTATCATACCTGACTCAGCATTGGCTCATTGAATTGGGATCTAAATTTGTGACGCAAAAGCCCCTCAGTTGTAGATTGTTTTACGGCTCCACTGAGTGTCATAAATTGGAAAGTGAACGCGCTTATAGATAAGACAATCTTCTGAACCAAAAGAATCCCGACCTCGGGACTTCGGGAGGTCACAATGCTGTTCTTGATAAGCTGGGTTGGAGATAATCCGTATTGACCAATCATTTGTACCAGATGTTGGGCACCTTCCAACCTTGGAATGATCTTTTGGGGTTCTTTACACCGGCATAGTCTTGGCATAGTCTTGGCAGAACCTTGGCGTTCTGCTGTCGGCCAAATCCCACTCACTGAGCTGAGCACGAACAAAAATTTGTGTTACAGTTCAGTTTTTAGACAAGGTATTCTTGACAGTGCCATTGTAAGGGTGGTGAGCCACTGCAGCTACGAGTATATGGCTCCTCCGTAGTATAGAAAAGATCATCACACATATCTCAATTCGGGGCTTCAAGTAACTATAAAAAAGATCATATATACATATTCTATCTCTAAGCGCCAATGACTAGGAGTTGCTATGTAGCCTTCCACTATTGCCAAGATTTGAACTTGCTCTCAAGATGCAAACCCGAACAATGTTGCGAGCTGCTGAGAGCCGTATCCTGCATAAAGAGCAAGTTGCAGCATTATACGAGCCTTCTGTGGGTTCAAGTCCTGTCCACCGTACATATTTCCAGTGCTGTCTGTCTGGACAAAGCCACCCATTGTCCTGCTGGAAACCACGACTTGCGTGCCGTATTCCTCAACCAACTTCTCAATCTCATTTGTTCCCGCCGATGTCCAGCCTCCAGCACCCATACCAGCCAAGACTAAACCTTTTGCTCCACTCTCTACTGCAGAGCGAGCCAGCTTGGGGTTGAGTACTTGGTGTCCGAATAGGATGTCCACTTCCGGCAATTCAGTTGCCCCCGAGACGTTGAAGTACGCTTGGCCGATAGGCAAGACTGGAGGATAGTAGAACAGCGGCTTGGTATCCAGGAAGAAGCCCAGGTAGCCTTGTTCGGTTGCCTTGAAAGTATCTAGGGAATTTGAATGCGTTTTCGTCATGTAAAAGGCGCTCCCGATACGGTCGTTCAGCACAACCATGGCACCACGGCCACGTGCCTCAGGGCTTCCCGCAAGAGTGACAGCTTCCAGCAGGTTCATGGGTCCATCAGCGCTGATAGCTGTTGCCGGTCGCATAGCACCCACCACGACGACAGGCTTCTCCGACTTGATAGTCATGTCGAGGAAGAACGCCGATTCCTCCAAAGTATCTGTTCCATGAGTGACAACGGCTCCCTGGCAATATGGATCGTCCAGAGCCTCTTGGATCAGCGATGTCAAGTTCAGGAGAATTTCGGGGGTGATGGAGCCCGAATCAACATTAGCGACCTGGACACCTTTGACGTTTGAGATGTTCCAGAGCGCAGGCACAGCTTGGATAAGGATGTCGACACCAAGTGCACCAGCGGTGTATCCCGTGGTCGCAGTGTTTGAGGCAGCAGAGCCGGCAATAGTGCCTCCAGTAGCGAAAATGGTGATATTTGGAAGACTGCTGTTGAAAGGGGTGTCCCGCGCAATCAGGTGGTGAGGGAGAATAGGTACTGTTGGAGCAGCTGCACTACATCCTAGGAAGGATAGGAAAAGAGTCCATGTGCTTAAAGAAGAACGCATCTTGGGAGAAGTGTGTATAGAAAGGTGTATAGTGAGGGCTGCTCTTCCAGGGTATTTTGCGGGATTCACTGTACCCTTCTTATAGTTCGCTCAACTGTAGATTCGTTGATAGCCACCTCTTGGCAATTTTAACTTTGTGATAGGCAACACCATCAGTCCTTATTTTACTTAATAATTGATAGATATGTATTTCTGCCTTATAGCAACATAAATTTTGACATAACAATCATGTAGCTGTTGCATTTCCTTGAAATTGATATGGAATGTTCAGAAGCCTTATCCATGGCTATCGACAACGACTAAGATAGAAAACGAATGTGGTTGTATATATATATAAGAGTGGCCTATATAGGATTTCCTACTCTGTAGATGTTTTGGAGATGGCAGCTTGCTTATCGAATACGTTACGTTATACAATCGACCTCCCGAGGTCGGGATGTTTGGTGCTAGCGCCCGGATAAGGTGCGCCATAAATTATGGAGCTTCGGTTATAATACCAAGTTAACCCCGAAGTTTACAAAAGAATCATATTTTGAAGGGATCTTGAGGATCTTGCGTAATAAACAATCAGTTGTTAGATTCCCCTTACTGTTCAGTTTGACGCGTGCTAAATATTTTGGACGGAGGACTCATAGCAAAGTTCTCCGCAGACTGCCGCAATCACCACTTGGTGGAGATTAGAACCCTATTCATTCTAGTCAGGGCTCGCAGTGGGTGGATTGGCCAGGCCGTTACGGCACATGGTTCTCCGACTAGCCCGAAACTCTGTCCTCAGCCGGAAACCCAATGCGGGGGTAGCGATTAGCCTTGGGGGTGAGGGTGGGTTTGAAGTGACAACCTTGGAAGTGTACGGAATACGGAGTGCATACAACATGGGCTTGGCAGGAAATGTGGATCCGCTGCAACTGAGACTCGAACACCGGACGCAGGTGGGTCGCCCACGTGACTACCAGATAGAGCCAGACCAATTAGATGCATTATGAAGATCCACACCGCACCTATAACCTCAATTCAGGACCTCGAAGAAAAGAAAATAGGTTCTTCTCTTTGATTGAGTCATCTCATCCTTAGTGCAGGGGCCATACTAATCTTCTCTGTATATTTTCTTTTTGCAGTATGCCCTGAAGGGCGAAATATATATCCTTAAGAGTTCAACATAAGTCCAATTTGTGACAGAAACATACCGCCTTCTTGCTTGGGCGAAATCATTGGCAGACGTGCCAAAACCAGACCGCCTGCCAATTTAGTCTGACATTAGTTAATTAGTTCGCGTCGCGTGACGCGCATCCATCGATTTACGGCTAGACTGCTCTTCTACCAGGTTGTCTCGTACCACATACAATGCAACAATGGCCGACAACGTTCTTACTTCCAGTGTTGAGGTCGGAGCTCAAGCTATCAATGTTCGTGCAGAATTGAAAACATGGGAGAAAGCCTTCTCGTCAGCCAATGGGGGCCGCAAAGCCGGACGCGATGATATCAAACAAAACGCGGATATTGGTATGTCAAGATTCACGAGATCTACCTACAACGACATAAATTACTAATACTACACTTTAATTCATTAGCGGCTAAATACAAGGAATATAGTCGCCTCAAGGCCCTTGAGGCATCCCTAAGCCGACGCGAAAACAGTCGACAGGAGCCATATGAAAGTCACTCGAAAAAGCGGAAACATGCATCTCCCCCCGGCCAGGATAGCGCATATCTCCAAGTCACACCCCGGAAATCATCTAGAGGACTCTTTGCGACTCCATCCAACAATCGCACCAAGCACCACCCTGCACAGCTCGATCCGTATGACTCGCCATCAACTCTTCGCAGACTCTTTAGTCCCAGTACACATCGACAAGGACCACCAGCACCGTCACCATTCAAGGCCGCAATTGGGCCTACGCCTCAGCGTGATGGAAAGACATTGGGCCTCTTCGATATGCTATCTGAATCTGGTGGGAGTGGCGGAACGCCTTCCGCAGAAAGGCAAACGAATAACCTAGCTGCCGCGTTCCGAACTCCCTCCAAAAAAAGGATGAACACGATGCCTCAGGTTCCGGAAGAAGAGCCTCAGCAGGAGACGCCCAGGCTTGCGCGAACCCCTGCGTCTGAGACCAAGCAGTTCTATCTTGCAAATCTATTTGCAACACCGACAACTATGCGTTATGCCGCTATGGTGGAGGCGGATGATAATGTAGATTCCCAAAAGATAAATCCGCTAAACCTGGTGCCCGAAATATCACCCCAAGAAGCGCAGTCTGGCACCCCATCTTTCCTCCGTCGCTCCAACTCTGGACGATACCCCCCACCTACCGAACAGCATGATGGTCCAGGACTCAGTCCTATTGTTTCGCGCAAGCCACAAAGATTCGCTAGCAAGGGGCTGACGCATTTGGTCCAAGGACTGCGGGATATGGAAGAGGATCGTATGGAAGACGACTGGGATGTGATGCGCGAGATGGAGGAAGAGGCAGAGGCGGAAGAAGCTGCCAAGATCCAGGTTGAGGACAGTCAAGGACCAGAGGTGAACCGGAAGTACAAGAAGAAGGGCCAAAAGCGGACGACGCGAAGAGTGATTATGAGGCCAGTTATCCATCAACTGAAGCCCAAATCAAACCCAGCTCCTGCGATGGACGAGGATTGGGAAGGCGAGGATGATGTTACAGCAGTTCTGGAGACACAACATCCACCTGCTGCTAATGACGGCTGGGACGATGTCCCTAGTGACATTGAGCGGGCAGACGAGGCCGCTTCCCTTCATACTATGTCAGAACCGGAGCTTGATACCGAGGCCGAGTTTGATCCGGACTCGGACGATGATCCCGAATTCGGAGAAGAGCCAAAGCCTGTTTCTAGACCGAAGAGTTTCTCGGAGAGAATCAAGGAAGCTGTTTCATCTGCTGCGAAGTCACAGGAACAAGAACCCTTGGGCAAACCTCCGAAGAAGCCTTCTGAGGCTGCGGAAGCAAAAAAACCTCGTGCCCGGAAGATCAATCCCCAAGCTCATGCCAACTATCGATCAATAAACATCAACAGAGGAGGTTCCTCGCGGGGTAGAGGGCGTTTCCGCCGGAAGTAAGCACCGTGCAGCCCTGCTTGTTTTCATGAAGTGACGACTACATTCATACATTCTTATTTAGCATACATAGCACTTTCCATTTCAGAGATTCATAGCGTATCAACACCATCGAGCTCTCCACTCCACTTGTTCAGACCTAGAACCATTTACTAAACACTGAACCAATCGAGCCCGCAAGCCAGAGCCATAGTACATGTTCAAATAGAGCAGATTGAAGCAACACGAAATTCTAGTGCGTTGTTGAACCGTAAGTCAAGATTACGACGGTTGTATAGACCCAACCTGCACGGGAGCTATTGAACATTTCAGACCCTAGACAGCCATAGCGGAAACCGCAGTGGAAGTCGTCTGTTCAGTTCCATTGAATCCAGGATCTTGGAGGGATGTCCTGGTAGCTTAGGCTTCCGAGTGATGAGATTTTATGGTTCCCTCGTTTCTAGATGAACGACTCGGTGTGCAAGCGCTGGTCGACGTTTAGATGCTTCTGGGCAGGGTCAATATATCACCACTTTTTTACTTTATTAGTAGCCGCGCAAATCCTTGTTCCTTTTTATTATTATTATTATGAATTCATTCTCTCGCAAGATATGGATGGGGTGGGGGGAGAAGCTTTGACCGAGCCTGTTCAGATTTAGTATCTTGTCGACTTTGAACTTGAGGACAGACAGCAGCGAAAGAGAACATCAAAATGCTCGATTAAACTCTAATGTGCGTTTATTTCCCTAGACAATTATCAAATTTGTAGATGTGGTACCTTGATGTTAAGCTGCATGCCTAATATGGATTATATCGCTGTTGAGCCTGCTGCAGCCACCTGGATCGGTCAATCGCCTCCTGGGACCTGGACCTGTATGGTCTTCGGGACCTCTGTGCCCTACTCCAATTGTTCACAGAAGTCGATCTACGACTCGAGCCATCAGAGTCCGTATACCCTCCGTCAGACGTACCCCGTGGAGTATTCGAGTACTGAACATGACGATCCCAGTCTTCCAAAGAATTATACGGACTCCTCAACCACGCCTGCAATTCGTGGAGGAACAGACGGGCGTTGTCACGGCCGATGAAATCACGCAGCAGCTCCTCCGCCTGTCCAGCACTGCCTTTGAGATCGACCGTGCGTAAGATAGCGATGACATATTCCAGCAGGAACTCGGCATTGTTCGCCCTGCGATTTTCCAGCCGTTGAGGTCCAGGGCGCGAGACCTGGTGAGATATCCGCTCTTCTTCCACCGGTTCCGGGTTCAGGAAAGAGAAGACTCGTAGTTCACGGCGGATCCATTTCCGCGCGCGTGAGACGAGCTCCTCATCACGGCTGAAGAGCTCTGGCGTCAGTTCTCGATATTGAGACAACCGATTAGATCCGACTCGCATAGAGTATGTTTGGTTGCGATAGACGTTGCGCCGGCGTTCGAGTGGGTCATCTGGCTGTGGTCGCGGTAGGGGTAGAGGACGTCGTCCTCCTCTTGGGGCATAGCGATTACTGGGACGTGATCGGGCAGCGGCTGGAACTGTCGGGATTGTTGTGCTCGGGGGCGGAACCTTGTATAGCTTCGGGCCTTGTGTGGCGTTGAGGTCGTATTGCACTCCTGTCAACTCGATTTTACCTGTTGTATTGTCAGTAGTGTCTATTCAGCAGTATGGGTGTCAACAAGTCATACATAATGGGCATTTAGGTTGCTGCTCGATCCAGCTCACAAGGCAGAGGAAGTCGAAGTTGGAATGGTGGCATGGCTGTGCCACACACGGCTCGGTGATAGTGTCGAGACAAATAACACAAGGATTTGCGGTCTCCTTCTCCTCATCAGCTACCTCTTGAAGGGTCCGTTGGAGGATTTTCTGTCGCAAATCGACATCATCCATACAAGCGACATGCCAGGGGTGGGTTAGCTGGTGTTTAGTTCCTGAAGTCACGTTTGTCACGTTTATCGCGTTCTCGGCGGCAAAACCGATTTCTCGGGAGCTCCGTCGCCGCGCTTGCTCGTTTTGCGACTTCAACTCTCTTCCTCTCCCAACTATGCGCTAACATCCTCTCTCTTCTTTTTCTGGTAGAATGCGGTCTGCCAAAGCGGTAATCTCGGAAAAACTAGCACGCTTGGGTTCTACCAACATGTCCTACAGCACAGGAAGCGGGACTCATCGCCCGCCGTATACCATCACCTCGCTACGGCGCTGGTCTATCGTGAACAAGGAGTTGCCAGGTTTGTTCTCGATATGGCTCATTACCCCGCTATGATTCTGACACCTTTTTTTTATTTTTCAGCTATTTCTCAAATTCGCGCAATTCACGTCTACGATTTCGATAACACCTGTGAGCATATGCAAACTTAGGATGGTCCGACATCCACCACTAACCTCCGCTCGCTCTTCCAGTATTTCTAAGTCCTCTGCCAAACCCTCAGCTATGGCATGGCTCCTCGGTGGGGTTCCTCCAAACCAATGATAGTTTCGCAACTGGGGGATGGTGGCACGACCCCAACATCCTCGCTGCTACAGGAAAAGGCGCGGAGATAGAAGAGCCTCGCAAATGGGAAGGCTGGTGGAACGAACAAATTGTGTGCTTTCGATCGTATATTCCATCTTTGGGGCATAACAACTGACTTTTTGCAGCTTAGTTTGGTTAGGAATAGCATGGAGCAGAAAGATGCACTCACGGTGTTGCTGACTGGTCGAAGCGAGGCTGGATTTTCAGAAATCATCAAGCGGATGGTCGCCAGTCAAAGCCTTGAATTCGATCTCATTGGTCTCAAGCCCGAAGTTGGTCCAAATGGTCAACGGTTTGCGACAACGATGAACTTCAAGCAGAACTTCCTTGAGGATCTTGTTTTCACTTACGAGCAGGCTGCGGAAATTCGCGTCTACGAGGACCGTGTCAGGCAGTAAGTCCCTGGAAATTAAATTGAAGAATCCCAGCACATCACGGTATTAACCTTCTGCTAGTGTGAAAGGGTTCCGAGACTTCTTTGAGGGCCTAAACAGAGACCTTCAAAGTGGAAATTCTACTGCACGGATGCCAATCCTTGCTGAAGTCATCCAGGTAACTGAGGGCTGCACATACCTTGACCCCGTAACTGAGACTGCTGAGGTGCAGCGCATGGTCAATGCCCACAACCTCACCCTGCGCAACCCTGCTTTGAACGTAACCAAGAGCCGCTGTGGACGGCTGTATATCAAGCGAGTCGTCTTCTACACGGGATATCTGGTTACTCCAGAGGTTTCAAACAGCATGACACAGAATCTGCTGGCTCCATTGCTGCCCCCAGGGCTTGCTGAATCAAATGACCTGAAGTACATGGCTAACAGCATCCTAATCACCCCACGCCCAGCGCCACGTTCAATCCTGGACAAGGTTGGAGGCATGGGCAAGAAACTAAAGTGGCAGGTTACCGGAACCGGAAACTTGGAGAACAAGATATGGGCGGCCCGCGTGGCGCCTATTCCGGCGACGGAAGCATATCACACCGAGAACCCACTGCCAATCGTAGTACTGGCTGTTCGCAAAGGTGCTCGTCTCATCGATGCAGGGAAGATCCAAAACTGGCATCCCATTCCGGCCGACAGGGCCATGACATTTGAGACTGTGGTCGGCGAGAAGGTTGTACTACGAGTTGAAGACAGCGGAGAATATCGTCAAGGAGAGCAGCCCTTGAACAGGAGTCAAAAAAGACGCTTCCAGCAGGATGATGAAAACGTCGTCTGGCCACCCAGTCAAAACAATGGCTATGATGCCCCATCTCATGGCCGCGGCAACTCCCACTCCGCCCAGCGCGGCGTAGGTGATGGACGTCCCCAATATGATGATAGTCCGCGAGGAAGGGGAGCTCATCGAGGTCGTGGCCGAGGTGTCGGACGTGGGCGCGGTAACAACGCCCGAGGCCGTGGCCGAGGTCGTGGTCGAGGTGAATACTACCAGTACAGGTCGCTGGATGACCATAGTAATGGACACGATGGGGCATATGATGGCAAGAGTGGCCACAACAGTGGCGGAGGTTCAGGAAGAGGGGGTTACTCCATGGACTATTGATATTCAATTTGTATGGAGTCTCCAAAGCTGCAGTTTCGGAAGGTTGGTCTACGGGCTGGCCTCTAGCATTATCTGTAACCTTATGACTTTTTATTATGTCCAAGTTCAGCTTGCATTCAAAACGTGTATTCTCTAATGAAAGCAATTACAGCGATACCACGACTCCGAGGCCATCTGGTAAAAGATTCGAGCCATATAACCGGTTTCCCGCCGCATAAAGATCGATCCTAAACATTGATAATCAGTGCTTCGAAGACTTGGCATGGAAGTCTGCCAGAATAGCGTCGGAAATCTTCAGAGACATGGCGTAGAAGACAGTCATGACGTGGGAAGACACCTGAGTCGGCGGGATCGAACCGTCAACCACGCGAAGGCCCTCGACACCATACACTCGAGCCGCAGAATCAACAACACCACCAAGCTCCTCTGCCATCATCGAGCAGGTGCCGACAGCGTGCCAGTTGGCGCGGAAGTTCTGCTTGACATAATCCACCCACTGGTCTAAGTCGGCATTGTACGCCAAGTTGGATCCTGGTGTAGTCTCGCCATCAAAGTAGGTCTGCATACCCCCGGTGTTGGAAATCTCGCGCGCAAGCTTCGACCCAGCAGCTTGGCCAAGAAGATCCAGTTCGTTCATGAAGAACTTAGGGTCGTAAGAAAACCGTCGTAGGTAGGGGTCGTTACCCTGGATATGCACGGAACCACGAGTGAATGGAATAAGATCCCATAAATCAAAATTGATTTTGCCGGAAGTATCGAGGAACAACTCCGTATAGGCAACTTCTTCATTGACCAGCCAATCACGGTAGTTCTCATACTGAATCTCAAGAGCAGTCACATTATGGAAACCACCTCGCGCAACCGTCTCAGTAGCCCACTGGTGCAACTTGGTGTTGAGCAACTCGTGGGCCGGAGGAGCGTAATCCCCAAACGTCTCATTGAAAGTAGCAAAATAGATGGCCTGACCTTGACCATTGCCAGAGGGCTTGGTACGAGAGCCCACGGTAGTGGTGGTTTGGTCCTGCATGTTGAGACCGACAGGGAGATCAACAATTTGCTGAATACCGGCGGCATCGAGTACAGATTTCAAGCCAATGCCCGAGTATTCTAGGATCCGGGGGGAGACAGCAGAGCCGGAAGCTAGCAATACTTCGTGCTTGGCGTATACATTGGAGTTCACATTCTTGTTGGTGCCGAAGTTTACACCAACGGCTTTGTAACCAGGAATAGCGCCAGAAGTAGCAGTTTGGTTGATGAGGACCTTTCCAACAAACTGACCTGTCAGAACCTGCAGATTCGGGCGTTTGTAGTTGGGCAGAAGCCATTCACGCGCAGCATCCGAGCGAACCTGATCCTCGTGTAGCGCATTGGGAATCATAGAAATACCGCGAGGGACCCCACAGTGGAAATCTAGCTGGGTGGGAACACCACGTTCCTTGGCAGAATCCATAAGGGTCTCGATTATTGGAGAGTAGGGTTCTCCGTTGTTCCGGGGACCAGCATGAACAGTGCCGTTCGTTCCGTGACAGGAAGAATTATAGAAGTGGCCAGCGGCGATCTCAACATCGTTCGGAGGACGGGCGATCTCGGCCTTCTGCATGTATGGGAACAAGTTGTCCCAGTTCCAGTCCTTGTTTCCAAACACCTTCTCCCAAGAATCGATCTGAGCTTTGTGGGGACGTGTCCAGGAGCCACCATTGGTCAAAGTTGACCCTCCAAGACCATTGCCAGATCGGATGTTCTCGGTTCGGTTATTGATCGCCTGAGAGACAATTTCATAGGCGTGGTCAACAGTGGTGCCGAAAATGTCGCCGTAGTCGTTCAGATCCTCAATGATCTCTCCCTCGCTAGACTCGTAAAAGCCGTTCTCAATGACCAGGACATTGATGTTAGGGTTCTCAGTCAACTTGGCGGCAATGGTGAGGCCCGTTAAGCCACCTCCGGCAATCATATAGTCAACAGTCTTGCCGGCGACGTGGTTAGGGTCAGAAAGAAGACTGGATTGGACATCGATCTGTTCAGTGGGCAGGTAGCTCTGGGATGCGGCCGCAGAGATAACAAAGCACGAGAGGATTATAGACTTCATATCGGAGATATACTCTCAATTGGAAGGGAGAGGAAAGAAAAGGAATTCCACAATCGGTTGCTACACAGTAGTAATTTTCGACGACTGAAAGGGTAAGAATATATAGATTTCTTCCTACATACACACAAAGCTTCCACCAGAAGCTCATCACACGGGACATTGATGATCATGTACGAAGGCCTGACAATGACGGAAAGGGTATGTTCGTCGGCTTCATTTGTCCGAGATAATAAAATTGTGGGCTACTAGATACGAACTCACCGGTGAGGATCATAATGACTACTGTCGATCGTACATATGAGGTTCATCGTAGCACGTTGTCAAATGATAAGTAGATATGTAATCTTCAGAGTCTGGATTCCAAGGTAAAGCCCTATGCACTAAGGCTTTAAGAAGCAACCTTGGCACTTTCTTCACCGGCAACTTGGGTTTTCCTTCTTATAGATTTTAAAAAAGTCCAGTTCATAAATTAAGCCTTTCTTCGCCTTCTTGTGAGATCTATGTATGAAACCGAAAAAGGAAGGCAACATATCTACAAGAAAAGCCATCTAAAAAGACATATAGAAAGACATAAAACGACATCTAAAAAGACTCCCCAAAAGACGTCATAAAGCCGCACAAGCCGCTGACTATTCTTGTAGACAATAACTTTAAAGGGAGGGGCCACAAAAGAGGGAACCTTCTAACTTTGTAAAGTTATGGATCTTCACAGGTTCCATGGATGGCTCTGCCACATGGTGATCGATAAGGGTTACCTATTTAGGTAGGTGGGATCAGCCCAAATCTGCTCAGATAAGGTCACTCGGTGTGCATGAAGTAAGTATCAAATAGGTTTTGAATTGAGTTTAACGGCCAAAAGTGGATACCACACTAATTAAGATCATCATCGCGTGTTCATCCCATCCCAATTTCTGTTATCTGATCCGAGAAAGCCTTTGGTGGCCTGATGCACACCAGCATTCTTGAGGTAAATTAGGGTTTGATTTTCCTCTCCAAATACACCTGTATCTCACCGTCGACCCGTTTGATCGACAACAACTCAACAGCAGACGACACGGGTCAGAAAGCTCCAGTCAAAGGGGAAAATTTGGTCGAGAGTGGAGTGTTTCAGCAAATGAAACACTCCATGTGTCCGTAAAGTGGGCATGTTTGAAAGATACGCGAATTCGAGTGTATATAACTTGCCTTGGTTGTCCCTTCTCCTTCGTATCTCCATTTCTTTCAACACGAACACGAGTACCTTTAATCAAAGATCTTGCACATAGTTTGAGCATTCATATTTCCTGTTAGTTTCTTGTTTCATTTCTCTCTTATTCTAGCCACTTTGCTGACATCAGAGATTCCGTAGATTCCAAAATGCTTAGCCCTAAGCTGGCTTTCTTGCTGGTTCTGCTGCACGCAGTGTCTGGCTCCGCCTACCGCTGGTTCAACTGGCAGTTTGAGGTTACTTGCGAGTCTGACGCCTACATTGCTCCTCAGAATGAGCATGCCACCGCCATGTTCCTCAAGGAACAGTACCCCACGGGCTCCCATATCAAAGTTGTTGGAAATGGTCATGGATTCGGTAACCTCACTACCTGTGTTGACAATACTCTCACTGAGAAGCCCACCTATATTGTTTCCCTCACCAATCTGAAGAAGCTCCATATCAATAAGAAGAATCTGACCGTCACATTTGGTGCCGGCTGGGATGTTGATGATCTTGTCCAAGAGCTGAAGGCCAACGACTTGTCCTTCAGCAATCTCGGTGTTGAGCGTGTTCAAAACTTTGTGGGTGCAGCCTCCACCGGCACCCACGGTTCTGGATCCAGCCTAGGTAATATTGCAACCCAGATCATTGGGCTGCGTGTGTTGGATTCGCAGGGAAATCTCCGTGTCATCAACGAGAAGCACAATGCAGAAGAACTGAAGGCTTTTCGTATCAGTCTTGGTGCCCTCGGTTTGATCACGGAGTTGACCATCAAGGTTCAGCCTACCCAACTCCTGAAGAAAACTACCAAGGTCTTAAATGCCACTTCCGACTACTCGAAGATGTACAAGGAGCTCGCCCAACTGTATAAAGAGCATGATCGTATGACTGTTTGGGGTCCTCACTTTGACTGGGATGCAAACACTTCAAGCTGGGCCCTTGAGCCTACTTACTTCCTGTCTTACTGGGAGCCGACCAACTATACTGGTGTTCGCAACTGCACTCTCAATTACTGCGCCAACGGCTGCGGTGACTGCAAGAAGGAGTACATCTGCTACGACGAGGTCACTGACGCCGCATCTTGCTCTCCCCAAGGTGTCTGTTCCCGAGGCTTCTACGCCGAGATCGAGCACTTCCTTCCTATCGAGCAGTACGCGGAAGCCGCCACCAACTACACCATTTTCCAACAAGCCCAGACGTCTCGCATGAAGGCTCCCTATAACAAGCAAATGGTCATCCAGCACCGTACCCTCAAGGGTGATGATACATATTTGTCCCCTGTCAACACCTACAACCTTGGTCCCGAGTCTAGCGGTGTCTTTGCGATCATCGAGATTGACTGGATCCAAGAATACAACAACTTTACCACCCTCTGGCAAAACCAGGAATTGGCCTATGAATTCCTCCCTCACTTCGGTGAAACCTACAACGCTCGCTCTCATTGGAACAAAATGAGTGCTCCTAATGCTACCTACACCTTGGAGAAATTCCCCAAGCTGCCCGAGTTCTTGGCCATTCAGAAGCGTCAGGATCCTAAGTGCCAGTTTGTCAATGAGTTCCTGGTTGAGCAGCTTGGCATTACCCGCTGTGCGGACTATATCAATCTATAGGGTGTGATATGAATGGTCCGAGTTACTGGTTTATTTACCCCATTTCTGGGGGTGAAGCGGTGGTCAATATGTCAAAGATTTGGCAAACACCTTTCCCACCGCAATTTCTGTCCTAAAAAATTATTTGAATAGAATACATAGAATAGATTATCAAATGAGCTTTATGTTGAGCCTGATGCCACCGGCTACTTTCTGATATAGCTTCATATCCAATTTATCCATCGCTATCAATTTTCCCCTCCGAGCTACTGTTCAACGTTGAATCTACAATTTCAGCCTCGGTGCCTTGAGACTTCTTTCAATCTATCTATGTAAACAAAAATAGTCAGTCGCTCTTGTGTATTGTGATGTCTTTTTTGGGTGTTTCTTTAGCTGGTGATTTTAACCTTTCAAAATTCTACAATAGTAACTGTCTTTTTTGATATATGTGAGGGCTTTAAAAAAAAGTATAATTTGTGCAAGAGACCTTTCTGTGTATGACTTTTGACTCACCTGGCAGCGAAATTCGGTACGTATAGCTAGCTGCATGAGCGCGATGCAGCGGCAAATGAGAAAGGTCTCCATTACCGATGCTGGCATTGCTTACCTGGGATATTGGCACCAGGCCGCGACCTATTATTAGTGCTATTCGTGGCGATAAAATTAGATAGACATATGGGGGTGAGGCAATATGAGATCATCGTGACTCTACACAGTGCAATCCTCGCTCGAATGAATATATGTAGCGAGATGCCATGGTCCCGATATCTAGTACACTCAATTTGAATATTCATCTACTTGTTCCATCTTTCCCAAAAACGGTGAACATCATGGGTGATTCCAAAGTTACAGATAAATACGGCAATGTTATTAATCGTGGCGATTATGTTTGGACCAGAATCCGCGGTGGAACGCATGAAGGGCATGTTAGTAAACCACAACTTATAGACAACCCTTTGTTGACTTATACGAGCTTTGTGGGCAAAGTGCGCTAATAGCATATGTTCAGGTGGAAGAAGTAATCACAGACCAGCAACGAGCGGAAGAGGTTGATGTGAAGAATCCACCAAAAGTGAGTAGAAAGGATAATATGATCTGGGAATGTGACTAGATGTATCATGCTAAGGGCACGTTCGCTTTTAACAGATACGCTTCCAGAACAAGGATGGTAAAACGGTGGCACACAATCCAGGCACCTTAGAAGTCAATGACACCGAATAAGAGGGCAAAAATCAATTCGTTGAACGATTTCATCAGTGGGAATTGTTTATTCGTTGGGAATAACACAAGTATATATTTCTTCGCTACCCTTTCTATCGGAAAGAAGCCTTTTAGATCTACCATCGGTGGTCTTTCCTTCATGAAAGGTCAAATGCTGGTTCTGACTAGACTCTTAAACCCTAATTGATAGAGTAGAGATGCTACCGGAAGGATGGGTCGGATTTTAGCACATCCAGTTATTCAGCTGTATGGCTCTTCGGCGCTCGTCGAATGAGGCAAAGTGCCCCGACATATGCTGGCTCAAATAAGACTTGGATACATAAGTGCCAATAATTGGAAAAGGCGTTCGGAGGCATTCCTGATCGATCATAACTGTTGAGTGCAAGTTACATTTTGATGTCATCCGCACTTCATCCCTCGCCTCAATGGACTAGAACCTTTCGTAGTGGAAGTATGGCTCGATAATAGTTCAATCAAATTCACCAGCCCCTTGTCACCGTGCCAGCGATGAGCTTGACGCCACGTTAATTGTTCTGGTTTTCTACAATGTGATTTATACCACATAATTACATCATAAGCCTTGGAATATAAAACGCAACCCGGACTCGTTATATTATAGTCCTGTTCTTTGCTAATCTCAAATATATATTCACAATGAGTAACTCCTCGAAAGCTAATAACGCCGCGAACTTCAAGCAGGGTGCTTTTAACCCCTCAGCCCCTCGCGGAGACCCAATTACAGATAAGGGTGTATGTTTGATCTTAGAATTCACAATATTACTCCGCATTAACTAAGCTTACAGCATCAACTCGGTCGCAAAATCAATGAGGCAGACCAGCACCCCGAATACCACGCGCAGCCATTCCCTTCCGGCGCAGCCCCAGCAAGCAATTCCTATCTCCCCGACCCCGTTTCCTCAATCCCCGGTCAAGCCAACAACTTCAATGTGAGCGCGGGACAAGAAGATGAAGTCGCCACCTACACGTCGGCTGCGAATACATTACTAGGAGCCACTTCGGGTGATGTGAACCGCGGCTTCGGGACACCGATGCAGGGCCAGACCATTAACGAGATTAGACATAACGGCGCACATGGCCGCAAGAAGCAAGCGGCCAGCCTTGAAGGTGCTAGCTCCTCTATGCAAGAGCACGATAGTGGGGACCAGTTCGTGGACCAGCGTGCCCTCGAGCGAGAATAGGCCGTAGGTGGCACACATTGCGCCAAGGTTGGTCTTTGGGGTGTTGGAGAGATGTAGTCTTGAGAGTTAGGTTGAGAGCCTTGATCGGGAATGAAAATACCAGTCACTCATCTATTCTAATGTGGGGCCAGCAAAGTAAGAGCTGAGATACCTTGTTCATGCTAAAACTGCTCTTTTCACTGGTAGCTCAACGGAAGATTATCCCCGGATTGTAAGATGAGTATTTAAGGGCGAGGAAAGATACTTTTGAGTGCGGTATCCGAACAGTTTATTTTGTAAAGTATGATTATATGATTCTCATATAAATGAAGTATATAAGTGAAAAGTGTGCTTGATCTTGGGAGGATATTTGACGTAGTTAGTGTTTGTTTTGCGTTCATTGTCACCTTCAATCCACAAACCCCTTCCACTTGCTTCCACGAAAGATCAACCTTCCTTTATCTGCTCTTTCTGAAGATCTGTTGGACCGTCCCATAGATGTTTGTTTTTTAGCTGACTGAGAAGTTTGCTTATCTATAGGGTATAAATACCCTGCTTTTGCTAGATTACATAGATCGTCATTCTTCCGTCTCTTTCTCCCCTTGCTAGTAGCCATAAGAAGATCTCGTGGGACACGCTTTCTGGCTACATTAAAAGAGATCTATCTACATTTCTTAGCTCTTGTCCTGCACACATTCACTACTCAATAATGGTGTGGCAGGGGTGCAGACCGCCCGGGGGACGAATATAGCAACGAGCACTCTGTCCAACTCGCGAACTGCCTTGATGAAAAAGAGTCCTTGGCCCACTTTCTCACAGTCGGCCTTGTTATGGCCTTGTTATTGCTACTATACTCAACGGGTATCTTCCAACGTTCAAAATTATGTAAGAGCACAAATGAGCAACTTCTGAGCTATTTTGAACTGCGAACAAAAGATTGACTTCAAACTCACCAAGAAGCCTGATCAGGTGCGAAGGATGGTGTTTATGTCGGAGGGCTCTATATATTCATTTATATGTATACGCATCATGTTGGATAGATGCGATAGGAGAATGGATGAGATTCCAAATTCCAGCCGATCAGATCAGGGATATCAAGTGATGGCCCATTGTTGCTCCAAACGAGGTATGCTCATACCATTTGGTTCTCGATTTTCTTCTTTGTTTTCTGCTTGGTTTCTTTTGTGGACACGGTCAGCTAACCATTAATATATATACAGAATCAGAATACCCACCTGATGGATCGCTACAAACACTGCCAACAAAAATGACGGGATTGTTGCTTTTACTGAGGTTCTACAAATGGACTTTGGACGTCAGGAGCACAACAACGTGGATTAAAACTACGACTAGATGGATCCGAACAAGATCTGCAAATGAGGGAATCCATCCCACGTCTTTGACTCTTCGAGTTTTCTCTCAGTTACTAAATGCTGGAGCGAGGTGGTCTAGATGGTTCCAGGGAGCCCTCTCGCACTTATCCTCACTTTGAGTATCATGAGGAGGAACGCTTGCGCACAGACATGAATCTTGGCGAAGATGAAGAAAATGCATTCAAAGCTGACTGCCGAAAGTTGATGTTAGACACCATTGATATGGCTGATGTCGTCTATGGGACACCACATGATATCGCAACGCCAAGGATATACCACTTCCTGCATCCCTCGTTTGGCGGGGTTGACGAGGCAACTATGTGCAAGGAGGCCGATGTACATCTCGCATTGGCCTATATATTCCCTGTTTGCTTTTGAGCAGCAGATTGGTCCAAATATCACAGGAACTGTTATGGATCATCCCTGTTTAGGAAGGTGAAGGAAACCGATTTTGAAGAGCTTGACTGACAAGGAGGGTGGGCCTGTCGTCAATTTAAGCAGCCGATGAGAAGAATGTATGCGGAAAGGATTTCCAGAGTCTTCCAAAAGGTCACTGCAGCTGCTAACATGGGTCCAGCTCCCGATACCGACACATCTAACACTCCACAGTGGGTGTACATCGTCGTGTGGCAGCACCAGCATGACAGCGTTCTCTCGGATGAAGCCGAACATAGTTCGTCATGCCGAACGCGAGCAGGGCAATTCTCGGGTGGTTTAACTTCACATTTAAGCACCTCATAGCTGTACAAAAGGTCGACCACGAGGCCAGATCACTCGCTGTCTGGTACAGGGGTCTATTAATCGCCTTCATAGAAGACAAAAAGCAATTGATCGGTGGCTTCAGGTATCTGATGAAGAGTTGATAAAGTTTATAGATACGATGGATCAGCATCGGGAGGTGCCTAGTTGGCTGTAGACGATCCTGTGCCCTGCCAGGAGAGAAAGTATGGCTGCTGGATTTGGTACCAAACAAATTGCGCAAGGTCATGCAAAGAATGCTAATTTTGATAAACAAACTCGAGGAAGGCTTCCTTGTCCAAGCGCAAAGGAAGATCTCAGTTGTTGGAAAGATTATATATATTATATCCAAACGCAATTTTGATAGAAAATAGAAGTCAAATCCATTTATGTATTGTTAATGTAAAGAAAAAGATACCGTGAAAGTAGTCCCGGTCTTAGAGGTTACGACTTGCAGATATTGAGTTATGAAGACTTGACTTTGGTATCATTTTTGACATCGTGTCATAAGGAATAACTAGCATTTGCATTTCTGCGTGAGAAGCAAAAGGCGGACACAGCGTGGGGAATAAACAAGAGGCTGTGGTATACATGACCAGATCGAACAAACGCCGTGTGCTGAACATAAAACAAAAGTCCACTCAAAAGAAAAACGCCAGCAAAAAAAGGCTGTACAAAATGTGACTCGATAACATTGCATTCATTCTATCTTGGCGGATCGGCAAAGATGCATGATGCCTCGTGTCAAATAGAAGAATAGAAAGCATGCGAGGGTTCATATTCTCGAATATGTTCGTAAAATTTAACTGCCCAAGTCCCAAATTCCCCGTGGGGAAATCAAAATGTCCCAAGTGTCGTGTGTTCCGTTCCCATCCATTCCGTGATTGTGAGCCAGTGTCGTGTGCTCGTAGGTATTATTCATTTCCCATTTGTGTCGTCCCGTTATAAGGGTAAGGTATGTCGTAGGCGAAGAAGAGGTAGGTGTAAGCAGGTCGCGAAGAAAAAAAAAAAGGAAAGCAAAGACAGCAAGGATTCCTTGCTTCGGCGTTGAGGATCAATCAAATTGATTATTCCTCGTCGGTTAGTTTGCGGATCAAACTGATACTCAAGATCATGACCAGCAAACCAACAGTTACTATGACCAGTAAGACAAAGCCAAACCAGCCAAGTACCATTGCAGAAGAGCCCACGCCGCTCCTTACACTTCCATTGCCCATGTCTTGAGCTATCGTACTAGCAGCGACAGATGCTGTGTGCTGCCACAGTACAGACACAAGAACGAATACCGCGGAGACGAAAATGAGGGCTAGGGCAGCCTGGGAGACGGGGCGCGAGGGGAAAGGCTTGACTTCATGCTCAGATCCAGACTCGTCGACCTCCTCGTGCCAGCCAGGGAATGTCGCCAGAAGGATGAAACAGAAGAATGCGAGAATAACAGCGACAATCCTGCAGAAATATGTATTAGTTTTGTCCATCATTGAGAACGCACAGGCTACTCACAGGAGATACGGGAAGACAACGGCATCCTTGAACGTTGAGGCAACCCAGATCAGGTTCAGAGGATCTTGATCCACGGTGACAATCTCAGCCAGCGCTGTCGCATTGGCATTGCAAATGAAAGATCCCTTATCAGGCTGAACACAGATACCAAAGTATCCCACTCGGACTTCCAACTCTGCGCCGCCGACGATGTTGGAGAGGGCAGTCACAACACCCGGGTCGACCTGTGCGAGATCCCTAATGGGGTTATACTTTTCATAGTATAGGGAGATAAGGAAGATGTTGGGCATTTGTGGGGATGATGAAGAGCAGCCGGCCAACAGGAGTGCTGAATTTTGTTAGCTACATTCCAGCAGCGAGAGCAATGACCAAGGTAGGCACTCACATAACAAGATAATAGCAACCGCGATGATAATCATCAACACATGGTGGTACCCGATCATTGGAATGAACCCTGCATGAAGGATTAGCGACAATCCTATTGCTGGCTTTGGTTTGGTATGTCGTCACTTACGGGCCCATTTTTGAGCAAAGGGAGTAGCCATTGTGTTCAACTAGGACCACCTCGAGGTCGGACTCCTTCACTTTTTTGTTGACTCGCTTCTCGGGTCTCCGAGAAGGAGTTTCCTGGACTGAATGTGATCACAGAACTCAATTGTACACCTCGTGGCGCACGTATTGTTGGCTCGTGTGGTTCAGATGACAAGTGAATCGAGATCGAGATCGTTGGAATGGAATGTAGATGAAGAATGTGAAAGGTCGGATAAAGATCGGATTGTTCAGGACGTATTCAATGCTGAGAATGCTTTCAAAATTATCCAAAATATTTGATAATATTGTGGAATCTGGATCGCACCTAGTGGATTCTCCAGATGGGTCAGAGATATGATATGACTTGACGCCTGTGTGTAGTACAGGTGGGAAGTATATGACAGAGGGAATGTGTAGAAAGAATGGAAGGGAAAGAAGGGATCGTAGCTGGCACAAAACTCAACGTCAGGTTAATTGACAGATTCTCCAAATCTCTCTGGAGGCTGGGGATGAGGCAAGAGTATAGGAAATCTAGGAGGCTGGGCCAACCGCTCTTGTTTACTCTCCCGCTTCCCTGGTAACCAGCTCAGACCGCCTTCTAAGTGGGTAATTTTGCCCACTCACACGGGAAAGTCTGGGCCGTGTTAGTCCCGATCTGGACTAGTGCAGATCCCGATAACCTTTGCCCCACTTTCACAAGCCACGCGATTCACCCAGCCTCTTAGATATTGGGCCGTCTACACTACTTAGATGTGTACAACATTTTACCGATTGGGCATATTTCAATGTTTCAAGATGCTATGATTCTCAAGCCCTAACCAAACGCTATGTCAAACAATAACCCCAATTAAAAAAAGTATTAACACCACAGGTTACGCG